TTCAGGGGATCTCGTAGTCGAGCAGTCTCGACTAGAGCTTTCTTACTTGTTTTACCTAGAAATAATGGATAGAGCAATGCAACGTTTGCCGGGCCAGCTAGTAGTTGATAACAGGGCTTCTAATAGCATTGTACTATTGTGCAAGTCGGACATAGCACAAAACGAATATGCCCTACTTTCGTGAATGAGTCAACATGTTTTAATCAATTTAAATACATACGCCTGGAGTCTGAGCCTGAGGACCGTATGGATACCTAGTCCATTCCAGAGTGGCTTCTCTCGTCGTGTCCAGTAGCACAACTTTAAATATAAAAAATTAAAGCATCAGTAATGAAAACAAAACTAAATTGGCTGGCCTCACCTTGATCAGCATTTGCAATTTGCAAGTTGTATATCACGCCAATTATCCAAATCAATAGAACAATTGAGAAATTACTGAATGGAATAAAGGAAGCCAGTTTGTTGTTTTTCTTTCTTATGGAAATATCTGTATAGGGACCATTCCGCTTTTGATTTGAGTTTTGTGTTTGGAATACGCGAAAAGTCCAGTGAATAGCTGGCATTTTATATATTTATATATGTATGTATATAATCCCCCGTAGAAATCAAGTTATGAAATCAGTTTAGGCTGTCTTATAAGTAATAAGTCCATCAAATACATCTTGATCTATATCCAATTCGATGAACACCATATGTGTATTTATAAACCTGAAGATTACAAAAATATATAAATAATAATATATGTATGCATAATATAAATAAATATAATAACGAATTTTAGAATATTCTTGTACTCGAGTTTCAGTTCATTATTAAAGCATTCTGCGCCGTTTAATCACATATATTTTATTTAATTAATACATCACATATATTTTATTTAATTATTTAAAATACAATACTACCCCTATTGCAAGTGTATTATAGTTTTTGTTTTCAATCTTGTAAAATACACAAATGGAACCTTTCGTTCGGTTTTGTTTATATGTTTGCTATGATACATACATATGTACATGCTTGCAGGCATATGAAAAAGCATTTACATTCATTACTTGCATTTATGTATGTATATTTACAATGCATGTGTGTATGTATACGTATATGTATGTAGATGAAAGTACTTAAAAAGCAATTGCCTCAATATCAACACAACATCGTATGCATTAGTTTGAAATTTATTTCACTAACATTATGGTAAGCTAAACATTATTTTTTTGTAGTATTGAATTGAATTCCATAGATGCTTCACTCGCGACACATGCACATACATACATATTTGTCATTTCTATTTACATATATGTATATAAATAAATACATACATGGACATGCACATATGTGTCTATATACATACATTTACTTTTTAAGTCAATCGCTGGTTACTGTAAATCAAAACTTATTTACGTATAGTTATCGATTAATCACATTAAAGTCACACATTTTTTTATTCGTTTAAATATTATTGTTTTCATTTATGCAAAATATGTATATGTACACACATTAATTTCTAAAAAAAAAGTGCTGCCACACTTGATAGTTTCCAACATTGTTGAGCGAAAATCGAGCGAGTTTACCAGCACTATGCGGTTCGATGCACATTCAGAAGCATGATGCTTTGGAATAAATTTTTGATCGAATAGTAAGTAATCGATAAAATATGAATTATGTGACTGACCAAAACACGCCGTATAAAGCGTTTTCCACACTTTTTTTGGGGATTGCAATTTGCAACCCGCACAACTTCGTATTTGCTCGGCTCCTCACTTCAGGTTCAGGCTACGAGAACAAACACAATCATTTTGCTTCATGCGCTAGGCCGAGATGGTTGTCTGTTGCTCTCTCTCTCTCTCGGTGCTCTCTGCTCGTTCAACTACATATATATCTGTATGTATGCATGTGAACTCGAGCAGCAACTCATGAAAATTGATATTTCTTCGCAGCAAGAACTCACGATCAGTGTTGCCGAAATTTTTTCAGCAAAAGTAGCAAAACCGAGGGCTGAAAGCAGCTAAAAGTAGTCAACTCTCTCCTAAAACAGCTGAAAAAGTAACCAAAAATAAAAAATTGTTTTTTTTTTTCTTCTATTAATTCTATTAATATCTCATCTATGACCACCAAGTCGTCATTTTCACCTTTTTCGCTATTATAATTTGCCTTCTTTAGGTAGTTGGGTGGAACGCTATAAGTAAAATCTCATATAACTTTTATATCAACATTTAAACTATTGGTTACCTATCTTATGTCTAATATTGATCATAGTACCTTGCAGCTCATTCTGTTCGTTAGCTTATTTTGGATTAAATTAACCTGACTGAACTGACACGCAACTTCAGCGTTCGACCAGGACAAGGATAATAATTTTAGGGCGAAGCTAGCCAGCTCTTCATGAGGATTAGTCAAGGCCGAGTCTTGATAATTGATAATAGCCAGATCTAGCTACAAAATAGCTGATTTGGCAACACTGCCCACGATTGAGTGATAGTGTCTTTTAACAGTGACTGGCGGCACTAACCAGAGAACACATAGACCGGACACGTAGTGTAAAGTGTTTTGCACACTTTTTTTT